GTAGACGAGTACGATGGCCTGAGCGCTGCCATGAATGTGATGGTCACTCTTGTGAAGCACGACGACCACCATCGTCGCGCTGCTGCAGCACTCCATCTGACCAAGTTCTTCTCGGAGGCCGAGGTCGACTTCTCAAGGTACTACCAGGACTTGATCCGTGCCTTGTTGATTTCGTTTGACGACCCAGACAAGGATGTCGTCAAGTCAGCATGGACTGCCCTCACTGGTCTCATGTCTCACATGCGCAAGGAAGAGATGGAGAGCTTGGCTATTCCCACCCGCCAGATTCTGCGACAGGTGGGCGTGGCTGGCGCGGATCTGCCCGGATTCAGTCTACCGAAGGGTATCATGGCTATCTTGCCAATCTTCTTACAAGGTCTTCTCAACGGTACTACCGATCAGCGTACCCAGTCGGCTCTTGCGATGTCAGATATCATTGACCGGACTCGTGCCGAGTCATTGAAGCCTTTCGTCACTCAGATCACCGGCCCACTCATTCGTGTTGTGTCAGAACGTTCAGTCGATATCAAGTGTAAGTTATGCAAAGCCATTATGTGGTAATCGTTTACTAATTCATTTTGTCAGGCGCTATCTTCTATACTCTTAACAAGCTGCTGGAGAAGATCCCGTTGGCTGTCAAGCCGTTCTTACCTCAGCTTCAGCGTACATTCGCTCGTGGTCTGGCCGACACCACAAGCGAGACTCTGCGCAACCGTGCTGCCAAGGGTCTTGGTATCTTGATTACGCTGACCCCCAGAGTTGATCCTCTGATTGCAGGTAAGTCTGGAATTTTTACACATGGGATGTAGCTCATCGCTAATTTCTATCTCCAGAACTTATTGCTGGATCGAAGACTACCGACATTGGCGTGAAGAACGCCATGATGAAGGCTCTCCAGGAGGTGGTTGGCAAGGCCGGTGCCAATATGAGCGAGGCATCCCGGCAAGCGATCCTTGGTCTGATTGACGATGACGCTAGCGACCAGACCGGTAAGATTATTATTAACTATTTCTGAGTTTCATGGCTTTCTAACATTCTCACAGATTCCGTTTCCATTACCAACGCTCGTCTACTCGGTGCTCTCGTGAAGGTCCTCCCTGCCGCAAGCTCGGTTCCTCTGATCAAGTATGCATATTCATTCGTTCTCGTGGTTTGATTTCGCTGGATACTAATATACTTCCTTGTAGGAACCGTATCCTTTCTGGTTCCCTTTCTCATGCAGCGGTTCTCGGACTCAACGCTCTTTTGGCTGAATGCCCCGAGGTTTTGACAGAACACTTCTCTGTGGAGCTGCCCACTGTCATCTGCCAGGGTCTTGCAAACAAGGATGTAAGTGGAATGCTAAACCGTTTATTATTGCTCGAGGCTAACTTGAAGATAGCCCTTTGTCTCCGACAACAGCGCTCTTGCTTCAGGCAAATATCTCTTGTCCAACGATGGCGACCATGCTTTCGAATCAAGCAAGACCATATTCGAGGCCTTGGCATCTGCCATCCAGGTCGGCAACCCTGTCGACACCCGGCGGTTGAGCTTAGTGGTCATCCGGACTGTTAGCCGTCTTCACCCCGAGCTGGCCCGTCCTCATCTGGCTCTGCTCGCACCGCCCATCTTCGCTAGTGTCCGTGATCTGGTGATTCCGGTCAAGCTGGCTGCAGAAGCAGCATTCTTGGCCATCTTCTCCGTGGTCGAGTCTGAAAGTGAGGTGTTTGACAAGTATATGGCCGGACCGGGTGCATCTCTCCCACCAGGCCCCAAGCGCAGCATGTCTGATTACTTCAAGCGCATTGCTATTCGTTTGGCTAACCAGGCGCGTGAGCGTCGGGAGGCTGAAGGTGGTGAAGGTGGCTTGGGACTGTCGAATGATGAGATAGATGATGAGAAGGAATTGTGGAGCATTGGCAAGGTTGACCTTGGAGAGGCCTTTGGCGATGAGTGATGATCTGTTTGCGCATCCAGGGAGCATCTAGATGTTTATAGATATACCCTTGGGTTTTATTTGTTTTAATCGTACAAAAGTTATGCATATGTATGTTTTTGTATATTTTATATTGCGTCATTCTATATCAATTGGCAACCATCTACAACATACATGGACTTTATACTGCAGATCACTATTCCCTAAATGGGAATATGAGATCAGGTGACACTGCCCGTATTTGATGTCACGTGATTATATCTCTCTTTTGCCATCTACCACGAACGTCATGGAAAATTGCAAAAGCGACAAAAAGATGAAAAATCAAACTGCAATACTCCTATTCTCGCAATAACTTCATTCCAGCTTTTCCCAGTATAAGTACTCTTGGCTTCCCCGGACTGCAAGATCTTCAAGTTCCATCATCCCGATTCGGACTAGCGCTAGGGCATCTACCCTGGAGCGTTCCGCCAGTTGTGGAAAGAGCACTCGCTTAGCCCTCGGCTGACCTAATCTGGCCCGCAGTGCCCTCTCAAACTCTCACCGTCGGGATTTCTCAGTGCCACGAACATCATCCGCCAACGACCGTCGATACGCCGACATCAAGATGTGAGTTCTATCTCCAAACTGTTATCATTCTCGAATGCACTCCCGTGTGCTGTGGAAATTCATGTCCAACACCCAACTCGTGGACCCGATATTTTCGTTATAGTGGAGGAACAACTTCGTGATGTGTGTGCTATGATGCTGACCGGGTCTCTCACCACCACAGGGTCAACCTTACCACCCAGAAGCGCCTCGCCGCCTCCGTGGTCGGCTGCGGCAAGCGCAAGATTTGGCTCGACCCCAATGAGATGAGCGAGATCTCCAACGCCAACTCCCGCCAGACCATCCGCAAGCTCGTCAGCGATGGCCTCATCATCCGCAAGCCCGTCACCATGCACTCCCGCGCCAGCGCCCGTGAGCTCAACGAGGCCCGCCGCAACGGCCGTCACCGTGGTCTCGGTAAGCGCAAGGGTACCAAGGACGCCCGTATGCCCAGGTATGCACACCACCACCATCTCTTGTCTCCCTCCGGCCTGTCTCGGACTCGCCCGATGGAGCTCGAACCGGGACACATTTGCTGATCGCGTTTTCCTCTGTTTAGCCAGATCCTCTGGATGCGCCGCATGCGTGTCCTCCGTCGTCTGCTCGTCCGCTACCGCGCCGCTGGCAAGATCGACAAGCACCTTTACCACGAGCTTTACCACCTGAGCAAGGGTAACACCTTCAAGCACAAGCGTGCCCTCGTTGAGCACGTAAGTTACAACCGGAATCAACCCCACGGATGACGATCAAACATGGAAACATGAACCTCCATGAAAGACGCAAAACAGAACACACCCAGGCTGACTCGTTCTCTTTTTCCCGCTATAGATCCAGAAGGCTAAGGCTGAGCGTGCACGCGACCGTGTCCTCAAGGAGGAGATGGATGCTAAGCGTGCCAAGAACAAGGCTCTCCGTGAGCGCCGGTTGGAGCGCAAGGATGCCAAGCGCGAGGCTCTGATCAACGAAGAGTAAATCTGATACAAAAATTCAATTACCCTTCCGTTGTTTGACGCTTTTCTTGCAATTCGGCGGTCCGGAGGTTGGAAACGGTTAACTTCTGGGTTGGATTCGGGATTCTAGGCTGTTCCCGATATCGAACTCAGGTCGGCCTTCAGCGTCTTCCTATTAGTCTAGATTCTGTTACGACTTTCTCTCCTTCCCTTTGTTTTCTCTGATAGCATGGGGTTCGTGGCCTTCCTGGATCTTTTCGAAAAATATGGGGTATGGGAAATAGGAAGATGCGATGATGATGTGATACTCAAGCTATTCTTGTTAAAATGTAACGAGAAAGCAAAAGGAAATCTTTTTTTACTTCACCAAAAAAACATAACAAAAACCGCACCCTCGTTCCCGGTCCATATCTACTGTGACTTGGTATAGACTTGATATGCGGAGAAGCAGATCGTATCTGTTCCCTCTATAAGCCGGTAAATACTATTCGATGGTATTGCTCGTATATTCCCTATGCTCCCAGTTTGCTGCTCATAGCCTCAGAGATCACCAGATATGTTCCAAGGTGCTCGTCGCTGACCAGTCCCGGAGTATCACCAGTATCATAGATGTCCATCTCGTGCTTTATGCAGACTTTATCTCGATTCCCACAATCCTATCCCCTGGGCAACTGCAGCCTCGTGGATCAAAGACCTCCAACGTAATTTATGGGTCTTGTGGCTACGCCACTACTATTCTGGGGATTCTGATCTAAAATGGCCTACCCACACTCACTTCTAGACATAACAGCCCACTCAACTCACAATATTGACATGGATATAAGATTGAATACGCAAAATTGAGTTTTTTTTAGCCTATTTTGAAATATCTATGAGACAATTAAACCAAAGGTCCAACAAGATTTGTGTCAAAATGTGATTACCGTTGGATATATATCTAGATCACGCAACCCCACAATCTTTCGAGTATAGAAATCTATGGTTAATAGCCAAACATCAGGGTAAAACGAAGTTATGGGATATCTAATAACCCTAGAGTAGCTTCCAATAGCGTTCAACTACTTCTGAATATATATGTGATGCAAATAGACAGCAATTATGTCTTGAGCGTGGTGCCATCCTAACCCTGCAAATCTCGAACGCGACGCATTTCTCAACAATTCCTAGAAGAAAAGAAGGAAATCATGGATGGTGGAAATATGTCAATATATCTTGAAAATACAGATGAAATTCAAGTCCTTCCGCCCTCCCTTGAAATCGTACATATCAATATAACCCCAATGAACAACCTAGACCTTCAACACCGAACTCCATCCAGGTGAGATATAAATGCACCCAAGGGGAATATCAGTAAGCAAATAAATACAAAAAAGAAAGAAAAAAGAAAACATGCAGACATCGCATTCGTAAGATCTTGTCGTCGTAAATAAAAAAAAATAAAAAAATAAAAAAAGGAAGTGTATCAGCGCGAACGTATAATATATGCAGGAAGCAAAGCCCGACCCGAGAGAAAACCATGAAGCAAAACAAAAGCGAAATTCCGCCATCTAAAACCTGGCTCCCCACGTACTCGGGATCGGAGGAATGGGAGACCGATGATGAGCATTCGGCGGAGGCTCAAGATCAAGATCGAAAGGGTCACTGCGCATGCTATCACGCATCACAGGCGTACCTAAGTATCCATGGGGCACAACGAGGGAATCCGACCCCTCACGCTCGCAATTCCAGTACCCCTGCCCACCGAGCCCAGCGCCACGGGAAGAAGTGGAGTAGATCGAGACCGAGCGAGATGGGGCTGAGATCTCGATGACTGCGGACGGCGGGTCCGCGAAGGGGTCTTGCGCTGTCTCACCGCGCAGATACATGCTATCTAGAGATAGGTCTGGATTTGAGGGCTGCTGTTGTTGCAGCGGGATGAATGGGAGTATGGGTGATCGCGGGCCGATATTGGCTGGGATCGAGGGATAGGAGTGGTAGTGGTGGTGGCTGATTGATGAACTCGTTGAGTCACCTCGTAGTAGTTCCTGTTGGATGCCTAGCCTCTCTGTTGCTGTTTTTCGTCGTCGGCGACGCATATAGAGTGCGCAGGCTAGTAGGGCGAAGATCGTGATTGCAGATCCTCCGATGACGCTTCCAACTATCGTTCCGACTTTGGAGGGGCTCGAATTTTCAGCCTGGGCTGTTTCTGAAGAGCTTGCGCTCGTGACTGTTCCAATGGATGGTGAGGTTGAAGGCGTATTTGATGGTGTGGTGCTCGAGCTGACCGAGGTACTGAAGGAGCTCATGGGGCTTACGGAGCTAGTGGCTGTCTCCGGCAAGACAGGCAGTGATGATGAAAGAAATATACTCGATGTAGTTAATGGAACCGATGGAATCCACATGCTGCTAGGATGGTCGGATGATTCTGAAGTTGCCGCAATAGGAAAGTCCCCCATTGAGCTTGAGAGAACCGAGGTTGTTGGGATTAGAGTCGAAGTTGAAAACTCTGAAATGATTGTCGCCGTAGAGCTTACAGTCGATATTACGGTGTCCCGATTAGTCGTCGATAGCTCAGTCGTTGTTGTCAGAGCCACGGTTACTGTGCTTGGGTTCAGTGTTGATGAGTCCAGCACAGTGGCTGTGGTGCTGGAATCAGGCCCGGGGCCAGATATGGTGTAGACCCACGTAGGATAAACAGTCTCCGTTTGAATTGATGTGAGTGTTACCAGATTGGGGGGTTTAGAGGATAAATCTGTGGACCACATCCGGATGAAATTGTTGAGCGGTATAGAGTGAGTATCAATGGCGGAAAAAGCACTCGACATCTCGCTGCGAGCCCGCAGGGGGCACCGGTCGTTAAACGACAGATCTGATGATATTTGGCGAGTGCGTAATCGGTGAATCGAACATGGAGGCGACGTAAAAGGATGGATCCCTTTGTATAAGCCCCTTTGTATGAATGCTGGACGAAGCACAAAGCGACAAAGCAACCGACAAAGCAGTAGGCTTATCAAGTTGACTCTGCTGGTTCACCCAAGCCCCGTCTGTTTGCTTTGTTACTTGAAGCCTTGAGACAGCCACGAACATAATCCCGTGCTCAGGACAGGATTCCATACAGTTCACGATTCACCTTCGTAGGGGCCCAAAAAGTGTATCATGTCAGATACAAAGAGGGCAGGGTTATATACAGGGATTTTTCTACCTTTTTTTTCCACAGAATTTGCCAGGGGGTTTTTCTTTCATTTGTCTGGAACCCGGCGCTTCTTCTGATGGCTGGGTGGAAGCAACTCCTGTGACAAAATGGACGGCGCTTAGCCCTCGGCCCAATGAGACCCTCGGGCGGTCCACAAGTGGATGATCATTTCCAAAGAATATGGGAATTTCCATAATGTGACACTGGTTAACTTCTTTGCACGTGCACAATCTCATCATTGTAGTTCCCTAGGTAGGATTTGAGCGGGGGAAGTGTATCATGTCTCAGGGACGAAACAGGGTAGTTTCGGGTTTGGCGAGAGAGTCATTGAAAATTAGACTAATACAACCTTGGGGGTAACTCCCTGAGGTTTTACTTTTTGCCTATTCCAGCTGTTGGTGTCCTGCAGGTCTTGCAGGTCTTGCAGTTGGGGAGTACTGTATCCTCGACATTGAGGAATCGTAGCAATGCCTCTTTTGGTAGAGTCATGTGACCGTGTTCAGGTGGATATATAAGGAGTCCACATTCTTATAGCATTCAAAATGATAAGTGAAGAATAGAAAGAGAAAAAAGAAAGAGAAAAAAAAGAAGAGAATACAGTACTAGAACGAAGTACGGAGTATGGAATAGAGAGCGTTAACTGCTGATACATAGCACCATAGCACCTCCACACTCAGGGTAAGAACATTCCTCAACCCTTATCTCTTGACCCTAATGAATGCCCTGATGAATGCCCTGATGAATGCCCTGATGAATGCACCTATGAATATTGCAGGTCATCAGTTAAAGGTCATAAGATATATGTAGGTAGAAATATATAGATCAGATCAGTCGGAGACCCTAGGCTGAAGGGACGAATGTTCCCGCCAAATTCCCCACCTGCAAAAGTCCCCCCGGTCCCTTTTATCTTCTTCCCATCTCTTCTTTCGTCAAGAGTTGTTTCTCTTTTTTTTGGATTTCAACATCTTCTGTCTATTTATTTACCTGAACTTATCCTCGGTGTTTCTGCCTTTTCTGCCTTTGCGTTTCCGCCTTCCCGTTTCCTCCCCATCTTGTTCCCATGTGACCTTGGGGAACTAGAACTTTGCGATAAACGTGCATTTGCATTTGCATTAGATCTGTGATTAAGAAAATGTTTGGCTGGGGTTCTGGGCTGGGTAAGCAATCTTCCTTTTGCTACCCCTCGATGTTTTCCCCCCTCCTTCCCCCGCCATACCCCTGTGGCAAGTTGAAATGTCAACAAGTTCACCTGGGCAGCCACGTTGGATTGGATCGCCTGGGTGTGGCTTGAAGTTCTATGCGATCATAGATCCGTTCACCACACCTGAATGATGGACGAACTACATTGACAGTCTCAGCAAGCTAACACAACTTCACGATAGCCTTGCCCTCCGCCACTTCAGAGCCGGAGAAGGAACGCAGACCCCCCGCTGACCCGACACCTCTCGATTTCCCCGTCTACAACCTATCCGATGTTCTCGAAAATGAGTCGGAGTCAAGACTTAAGGAGATGTCCGACCTCCTGGCCGACATCAAACGGCCACAGGACATCAGTGTGGAGCGTTTCAAGCCGTTGAACCTAAAATTGGAGACAGGCGTCGAAGTCGCCCACATGATCCCCGAAGACAATTCGCACCCCCTCGCCCCCTTGCCATGGGAGGATACCACCGAACCGACAGAAGACAACCCCCGACCGTTGATGGACAACGGAGCCCCATATCCCTCAAAGGAACGATACGAAATCCTGGAAAAAGAGCTGGCGTTGGATAAAGACGACGCTTTCCGTGAGGTGGCTCGATTGCCACCGCGTGAGGGCCGCAGCCGGGTTCGTATAACGCAGTCAAGGAAGTTCTGGACAGGGCTGGAGCACATGGCTCAATACTGGGATACTAGCCTAGACAATTACTTCGAGCGTCCGGCCACCCCTGATCCCACACCCCCATCTGAGATGGAACGGGCAGAGGATGGCACAATGCAGATGGATGCGGAGGAGTCTAAGGGCAGATATTCTCTGACAGACGGTGAAATGGATCTGGATGAAACACAGTCAGCGGCGCCTTCGAGCAACGGCATTGTTGGCGAGGAGCAGCGGCCCTTTGTCCCTGTATACACGGGCCGTCGAATTGGCAACGGGGCCGAAATGCCTGATGAAATGCGTGATGAGACAATCCGAGCCTTTGTGGAGATGGCCGCATGGCCATTCGGATGCCAGGTTACGGTCCCCACGCTCCAACCACGGTTAACCACCAAGAACCTCCTGTTCCCCGTCCGGCAAACATTCCAGTCCTCGCGGTCCCCGCGAGATCGCCAGATTGCGCGGAGCGGCATGCTCGAAGGCCCCGTTCTCATCTCACAGTGTCGACCTGAGACGTCTTTCCGCACTGCGGACAAGGCCCCCGGGACCGGGATTGGCGATGTAAGTGACTTATTCCGGGAAGTGGGTGGCATGCTTCTTGCGGCGCAAGAGCGTGCCCGCGAAGGCGCAGTGGAGAAGCGACCCGGTGAGGGCAAATGGTGGACCATGCAGCCTCGCTTTGGAGGCGCCCCCAACGACGGGATCCTGGATGATCTCGTTAACCATGGACACGGGATGTCCCTGCCGGACTCAATGATGGAAGAAGGCACGCCATCTGTCCAGGAGGCGGGTAACGCTTCCAAGCGTCAGAGGTTCGAGCATCCATTTGTCACGTCTCTCTCCCGGAGACCGAGTGCTATGCGCAGACTTACTACCAGTGAAAAGTGGAAGATCCTGCAGCCTGGGCCTAGTCTTTGGGATAAGCGGATGAGTTATTTGCAGATAGGCAAGGTCCAGGAGAGTCCCTTTGATGATGTATGGATACCCTACCTTGTTCATTGATATTGTGCATGTTACGGCTGGCCAGAGCTAACCCTTCATTTTTTTTTTTTTTTGCAGATTTACATGATCTCATCTATCAATCATCACGTCTCAATCCTCCACCTCCGCGTCCACAGGCGGTATTTGGACATCCTTACCAACGGCGAAAGCACCTTCCCAACAACCGAAGGTGAGCCGTGGCATGTGCTGAAGCTTCAGCGGACTCGATGGTTCGACCTGTTCGACACCAACGACCGCATAGAAGCGCTGAAGGGTGTGTGGCAACTGTTCCATCACCAGCTGAGACAGACACGCCGCGAAGGCGATGTCCCAGTCCCGATAGAATTACCTTTAGAGCGTCCATTATAGAGTATGCATGGCGGTGTCCGTGTGGATATGCTTTTGACTCTCTGGCCTTTGGCATTTCTCAAGCGATGCATCTTGTACATACGGCGCAGCAATCTTGGGGCCTTTTTTTTTTTTTTTTTTTTTGCGCTTGCTGTGTCAACCTCCACCCCGTTTTTTTACCCATACCCATTTTCAATTAAAGCAGATTATATTGACTATTTACGATCTTGAACATATTGGCATGTGGCGGGCTATTTATACCGGGTACTACGTGCTCTCCTTTTTTTCAGCTGGGGAGTGGTTAGATGGGTGATTCGGGGTCTTGTCTTGTGCTTTGATATGCCACGCAACGGTTTCATTATAGGAATTTTTACATATTTCTTATACTTGTGGACAGCGTGGTTTGATATGATGAATACGGCGAGACCTTGACTTGGATGACTTGGAATTCTGTTGCACTGGTCATCAGTTGAGAGAATCTAACAGTCGCGAATCCTCTATGCATGTTTTCGAAGTATCTACAACATAAACCAGGGACTGTCTCATCTATTCAGTAAAAACTCTTCTCCACTGTGGTACCTCATATCCATTGCATTCCAGCTACATAGTACAATCCACCATCTAAAAATCTACCTCGCCCCAACCCTCAACGGTACTTTTGTCAGAGTGAGACCACCCTCGCAGTCCTCATTTTATACGAAACAATCAGACCAACGCGCCGGACATATTCGGTTCCCAACCCCATGACCTCCACAATCCTGATCATCGAATCTCGCCACACCCAGAAAGAGACAGAACAAAAACCGACAGGGTTCCAGACCAGCCAAAAACTAACTAAAATATGATATATCGACATGATAGTCCTTCTAAATCCTGCTTTGGTCTGTGTATGGCGTAGTTGGGAGAGTGGATCAGTACCAAGTTAGCTAAGGGGCGCTGAGACCCTTTTTGGTGGTATTTCGGGATCTTTTTTCTTTATAGTTTTTTTCTACATACTCCGTACAAAGTAGGATTATGTATGTGCATGATATACGGAGTACAGTAGATATAGGTGAACCTCATGAATTTCTTCCATGTGCGGACTTTATTAAGTATAGGAAAGATAAAAAGGAGATATGTCCGTATCGGGGGCTTTCAAGGTTTTCAAGGTTCTTGGCTGTCTGAGCGGGTACATGATAGGCTACATACGTATTTGTATATTGGCAATACGAATTAATTTCTAAATGTACTTCGTACTAGTATATTGTACTAACTATGCAGAGGTACTTTGAATGTAAGTTGTAGACACACGTTTCCTATGCT